ATACATATATGTTCATTTCTAGAATCATGGTATCATGGTACACATACCATTTAAACATTCTTTTTTCACTTCACAATGTTTCACTCAAAAACAGCATCTCAATTCATGCCATTTTTTATTACTTTAGAAATTTCACGTTTATGAAAGAATATTGTTCTTATATCTCAGTGATGACAAATATGACCACTTTCTAAAGTGTCAGGTTAACACAGAAGGAAAATGAGGTGAACCAGTGAATTGCCTTGATAGGGAAAATCCACATTCATTTATCACTTACTATGGTGGGTCTGGATTCTGGAAACGCTGATGCCTCCTGCTCTCACTGGCTGTTGCATGTAGTTTCCTTAGGCTTCTTCTGTTATGCTCAGCCCTGGAGACCTGGCACATGGAGCCATGGTAACAACGCATTCAGCCAGGTTTCCTTAGCTACACACTAGTGACAGGACAGGACACTGCCCCAAAGTGCCTGCCACTGACTCAGGGAGGAGGCTTGGAACACACAGCAGGATGTGGGAATGGCTTCTATGTCACCCAGAGGAGCTGTGGCCTTAAAAGGAAGTCACTCCATGGGCTTACAGATCACATGCCCTGGCAGGCATCTGACAAGCTTTTATGGATTTTATAGGATCTTATCTGATTGGTAACCCAGTTTAATCATACAGAATTTTTTTTTTTAACTCTTACCCTACATGAATTAGTCAGCAAGCAAAGAACTTTCTATGATTATTTTCCTAAGTGAATCCCTTCTACATTCCATATTAGGTTAATGAGTTTAGTGTCATTGCAACGATGTGTGTGTGCCTAGGGGTTTTTATCTTCTTGTATATATGCTATACTTCCTGATTTCATTTCATCTGGCTAATATGTATCAGGCACTGTGCTAAGTGCTAGGGGATCTTAGAAGGGACTCTGTAATCTCTCTCAAGAACTGACTAGCCCGACACTGTAGGCATTAGCCACATGTGGCTATTTAAATTAATTTTTAATTAATTAAATACAATTAAAACTTTACTTTCCCACTCACACTAGACACATTCCAAGTGCTCGATACATGTAGCTAGTGGCTACTACACCAGATAGCACAGACACAGAACATTTCTGTCCTTGCATAGAGTTCCATTGGACAGTGCTGGTGGAGATACTAAGAAAATATCATGCCTGTTAATAAATTATGTTTCTGAATCTATAAAATTGGATACATCTTTCCAAATTTTTTGATAATTCTCTTTTGTGATGGTTTTGTAATTACCCAAACTATTCTGGAAGGAAGCTTAAGGAGATTAGCTTTAGGAAGAGAGTGATGAACAGCATATGCTTATTGTCCAGGCAGGCCTCCAAAGTTCCCAAACTTTCTATAATTGTCCACCATTATAGGAAGCATTTTAAAGCAATCACTCCCAATATAGGTATTTGCATTAATAATAAGTAATATGTGCTACTGTCAGCTAATATTTCAAAACACAGTACATATACTTAGGGCTCATTAATGACAGTTGATATAAATCCATATTTCAATAATCTTCTTGATAATTTTGAATCTCAATCCAGCTACTTGTCATATGTCTGTGATACAGACTGGTATGAGTGTAAAGTTAGAATCAAGAATAGTCTATATTCAATTCCACCACTTTCATTATTTTCAGTTATAAGCATCCACCAAAACTAGGTTTAACAAGCATAGTAGAAAATCTCATAATTAATAGATAAGTGTAGTTTGTAAATAACAAACCAACAAGCTGCCTTAGTACTGCTGGATTTCCACCTCTGTGGCTGTGGCCATATTTAGATATAAACAGAGAACATTTGCAAATGATTAGATTAAATAGATAAACTTTCCCGTTATAAATTTCAAGCATCATACTTGCTTCACAAATTCTTTTCTGTCAATAGAACTAATTCAATCTCTAATTTGTGAAATGCCAAATGAAGAGAATTCTTGATTTACTCATTTTCATTTAAAAGAAACATGACAACAAATACAAAATGTAGTCAAAAAGAATGCTACGTGGATTTATATATACAGAAAATCAGCTGATTAGAACAATGTTTTTCCATGGTATGTCTGTTTTCTTCTGTATTATATTGCTAGGAAGTGGGCAAAGTAATTTTTTAACTCTTTAAAAATTTTGTCATAAGTGTGTCTGTGCCTCTCTTTTTCCACAAAATCAAGTCTTTCGTAAACTCAGTTTTTGTCCTATTTTAGTCATCAATTTGCAGGGAAAACAGATCTTAGCATGTCATTTGCTAAGGGCCTTGGGCCTTTCTTTGCTCCTTTGTCTAATAAGGGAGTTAGAATATATTATTTTTTAGGTGCTTTCCAACTCTTCAATTTTTAAGACTAGAGGGTGGTTTTAAACTACATTATTCATATTTTTGTAGAAAATTATTTTAAGCCATATGAAGCTTACACATTTTATTTATTTATTTATTTATTTATTTATTTATTTATTTATTTATTATTTTTTCCCCCTGAGATGGAGTCTTGCTCTGTCGCCCAGAGCTGGAATGCAATGGCGCGATCTCAGTTCACTGCAACCACCACCTCCCAGGTTCCAGCAATTCTCCTGCTTCAGCCTCCTGAGTATCTGGGATTACAGGTGCTTCCCATCACACTCAGCTAATTTTTGTATTTTTAGTAGAGATGGAGTTTCACCATGTTGGTTAAGCTGGTCTCAAACTCCTGACCTCATGATCTACCCACCTCGGCCTCCCAAAGTGCTGGGATTACAGGCGTTAGCCACCACACCTAGCCTTACACATTTTTAATTGGCTAAGAAATCAAGTATGCATTTGTTTTATTTTCAGAAATAAAAGATAATTTAATCTACAAATCTCCCTCTACAAATAAGAATACAGAAACATACCAGCCAATGGTTGCCAGGTTCCTATATGATACCTTTATAAATCATGCACTGATTTATTAACTGAACAAGGTCCTTCAAGTTGTGCTGTGATTTTCAGTATTACGAGAGCAAAGGGCACATTCAGTGAATTTCCATGGTTGATTCTGCACAAGTTATTCTGCATATACAGCAAGCTGAATCTATTTAAAGGCCAAAATTCATTCACCAAAGTCACCTTCACAAATTTTAGCAAATGTATAAGTTTAAGCATTGCTTACAGAACACTAGATTGATTAAAATTAAAATAAACACCTTGAAATTGCACTTAATTTTCAACTAAATATGAATTTACGAGGCAACAGATGAGACTGAGCAAACCCTTTCCATGCTGATTGCATCAGGTGTCTGGGACAAAGCAGCAAAGGGGGTCATTAGCTCCTAAAGGAGTAATTAGGTAAAAGTGCTGTAATTTACCAAATGTATAATGTATGAGGCTCCTGGAAGAGTTTCAGTCTATGCAAAACAGGTCAAAATAATAACACATGTTTCTTCAAGGGGCACTAACACAATTCTATAATCTATATCTAAAGTTCCCTTCCTATAGGATATTATATTGGGCAACTGAGAGATATCTTGAAGCAAAAAAATTATTTTTAGTGTTGATGAAAATATACAATTATATAATTTAAAAATTCTATTACCTGAATTTCTTGTGTCTTCCTTTTTTTGAAGGGCAGCCTTTTCAGTGCAATAGTGTTAACACACTTCACTTCCTACAGAGTGAAAGCACTCCTATAGCCTGACGAGCATGGAGGATACTTCACTTATGGATAATCCTACCAAGCCAGAAGGACAGCATTTCAGGCTCTGGGAATCTCCTTCTGAAGGGACTTGAAAGAATCTGCAAGCTGCTAAGATTAAAAGAGATGACAGGTGGTAAGAAAATGGGTGGTGAAAACACACCGCTCTTTTCAGTGTATTGGCTTTGAAAAGAAGATCGTTAGGATGTGAAAAACAATAGGTACAAATTATTCTCCAGAATCTGATGCATGGTGCCCATCAATGGCAGAAAAGAAGAAGCCCAGGAAGAGGGAGATACTGCTCATACTAAAGATGGGGCAAACCTGTGAGGGAACAGATGTGGGAGAGCCAGGAGCAATAGGTCAGCGCTAGAGGCACAACAGCCTTGGTGATGGGCTCCCCTTCCTTTGAAAAAAGATGAAAAAAGGGGAGTGAAGGAGTAAGAAATATTTGTTGAGCTGGACGCTCTGCATGGCACTGCAAGTAGATTTCATCAACTGGTCATTACAAGCACCCTGAGTTAAATGGCAGTCCTCATTTTACAGAAGCATTTAAGCAAATCCATTTTATGCCAAAATAATTTATTAATTTGTCATTCTGCTAAAAAAGTGACAGATACAAAATTTTTGGCCCCAAACCCATGATTTTTCCCCATTTTGCTACACTGTCTCCCAGACAAAAAAGCTGAGGATTTGGTGGAGAGAGACAGACTGTAGGATAGACAAAGAAATGGAGGGTGAGATTGGTAGAGGCTTACTTTCCTCCTGGCATTAAGAGGACATGAAAATGAAGGTTTAAGGAAACTAGAAATTCTCATCTGCAATATATACAAATGAATCTCTCATGTAGTTTTACTTTAATCTAGCTCTTACTGGATAGCTGTGGCTGAATGAACTTTGGAAATTAAACTCTGCTGCTTAAATATGTTTTGTCCTTATGTCTGCATAACTTTCAATTAGTAATATTCTTAACACTGTTTCTCTGTCCCTCTGTCGCTCTCTCAGTAGTTAACAAATGCACCAGGAAGCCTCTATATGAAGGAACATTTGGGTTTTTTTTCCATAAATAATTCAATTTTAAACCAATTAACTCATGCAATTCATTTTTCTTAGTTCAGTTGTTTTTCACTGAGTTTTCTTAGACAGCCTGACTTACAACAAGACACTCTACAATTTGGCAAATCTAATCAAATCAAATCAAATCAGTGGCAACGGATCTTTACTGAGCACAGGCATCCCTATTACAGCTTGGCCAGATTCATCTGGTTATGTAAAGATGGTGGAGTGTATCAGGACATTTAATGGTAAATGAAAAAAATCACTAAGAAAACAATGGCCTGAAAGGACTTTTTGTCATCAGAACATAACTAGTTCCAGGAAAGGTTCAGCTAGGAGGGCTGGCACCAGGGACCAGCCAGGCAGGAGTGGGGGTCTGTCTGGGAAGTACTGCAGCAGAGATGAGGTAGCCTGAGGTCTGGGCAGTGGGTCAAGGTAATGGTACTAACAAGCAGAAAAGCAGGAAGTGTCCTCTCATCTAAGACACAGATGCGATGAACACATGCATGCTGCCTGCATATGACAGCTGGCAGGAAGAGGAAACAAGAACTGTGGCTCTTGCCTCCCAGCAAGAAAGTGGCCAGTGACCCAAATATGCAGGCAAAAGTGAGTGTGTGGACACATAGAGAAGAGCAACGCACACCA